GGCGACCATCAGTCTGTTCTCTGTAGCTATGAGTCTGTTTCAATTTGGTTTGTTCCCCTTTTTTGCTCTCTAGATTCCACATATAAGTGAAATCATATGGCCACCCTCTGTGCTCTCGAACAAGCCAGATAGGCAGGTCCACTGCTCACGTGCCCACACAAACCCACCCTCCTGGAGCCAGTCCAAGCACCAGAGAAAGCTCAAATAGGCTAGAATATGCGTCTTTTATAAAACATCATTGTCCCACGTGATCTGGAGACGATGGAGAGAATGTAAAACAGGAGTTGCAAACTCCAACTTCCACAGTGGCCGGGAAGGGATGGAAATGAGCCAAGTGGGCCAGGTGGGCCTGGGGAACCCAACAGTGCATGCCCGGCCTGGAAGAGGTTATGGTGTAGGAATGAGGGCTGGCTGTTGCCAGATTTTCAAGACAAGCCAGAAGTAATTTAGAGAAATCTCCCTGTTTTTAAGTGTTAACAGCTAATTTAAAACAACAACAAACAAGACAAAAAGCAAAGAACACTGGGGAGTATAAACCAAACACATTAACATGCTGGATCTGACCACTGGTTTGCAACCTTGGGTTTAGATTTACAGGAAAACATAGTAACTTCATTCTGTGAAACTACACAAGGCTCACCAGAGTCTGGTCCAAATGGAACAGCAAAATATCAGCATTCTACTGGGTCTTATGAGTAGTTTAGCCCAACCCCTTAGGTGAGGATAGAGGATGTTGTGTTAGTGGCAAACTGTAGGTGAGATCCAGGTGCTCTGACTTCTGGTCACCTTTCAGGGGGACTTCTCCTTCTCTGAGAGCCATGCAGTCACTAACCTTCACCTCCTATGTCAACTGACTGTGAAAAGGAAGGGATGCTCACCCACCTTGGTCCCAAGCAGGGCAGGTAAGAACCACTGGAAGGTGTTTTTTGAAATATACATGCCCTTATTACGCTCATCCTCAAAGTTAGCACCTGGAGTGTGTTGTGCCTATAGGACAGTGGGGAGCAGAGAAAAGTTGACAATAACATGTTGAAATACCTGATACTCAGAAAATGTTTTTAAAGATGGTGTGATGTTTACAATTCCTTGGTATCTCTGGGTTTACAAGGGAGGTCTTGCAGGGCTGCTTATTACCTCTCAGGTATCACTAGCACCTCTGTGGCCTTCAGGAGGTTTGGTGACCATGAGGGAAATGGTGGTGATTACGTTGGGTCCCTGGCTCCCCAGAGGTATTGTCAGGTGAGGAACATTTTCCCACTCATTTACCCCATTTTATCGAAAACACTGCTGTTAAAAGAGCTAAGTAGAAAACTTAGCTCTTTTAACATGACATTTCCATAAAACACTGGATATAATTTGAAGCAAGTTGTCAAGAAAAACGAATTCTCGTCAACTTTTAAATATTAGCAATTTTTGAAGCGTTAACCTGATTTTCCACTAAGACTCTCACAGAGTACAACTTTCTAACTCGCCCTACATCTTTGCCAGAATTTTTCATCCCTTTCCACACATTAGGATCTATAACCTGTTTCATTCCTAAATATGTAGGCTTGTATCATTTCATCTTTTTTTTTCTTTCTTTCTTTCTTGTGAGAGTTGCTGGCTGTCTGGTTGGAACATATTAAAGTCTACTTCCTTTGAGAGTCAGAATGGTGGGCATAGCATTGCCTGTTATACAAATATGAGTTATGATCATGATGGTTGTTCCAGCTCTCCTGCACTAGGCCCAGCTTCCTCTTTCGATGACGATGAGAATGATGGCAGAGCAACTGCTGGGATGGGTCAGAAGATACCCGTGCTTAAACGCTATTATTCATATATTTATCCCAACCAATCTGGGCTTCTCTGTTTATCGGCTTTCTTTGACCCTCTTCTTCCTTTTTTTTAAAAAAATATGTTTTTATTGATTTGAGAGAGAGAGGAAGGGAGAGGGAGAGAGAGATAGAAAAATTGATGAGAGAGCAACATCAATCAGCTGCCTCCTACTGGGGATTGAGCCTGCAGCCTGAGCATGTGCCCTAACCAGGAATTGGACCAGTGAAGTCTTGGTCCATGGGTCGATGCTCAACCACCAAGCCATGCCGCCGGGGGACCCTCTTCTTATTTCCTTTGGAGATCTAATTAAGTTAAACTATATTCTGTTCACTGTTCTAGTTCCAGTAGAACCTTGTTTCTCTGGCTCACTATAACATGAAAGCATTCTCTCTCTCTCAAAAAAAGTTGATGTGTTTTCTTGCATGGAACATTTTTATTGAGGCACAAGGTACTAGAATTTGCCTGAACTTGAGGCAGTCAGTTTAGTAAATTGAATGTTAAGGGTTAAGGGTTAAGTGCAAACAATATACAGTCACAGCTTGACTACATCACAATTTATAAAGCGCCAGATTAGTGCTAATTTTCATTCAACTTGAACTTTTTCACCTTGTGGAGGAAAACAAAAACGTAAGGCCCTCTTTGTTCCTCTAGAAATGAAGACATTTTCCTAAACTCGTCACAAAGTCAAGGACTATTTTTTTTTTCTTTAATCCTACTAATTAGAACACCATCCTTTTATGTAAAGTCTGTACTGATTTTCAATCTTGGCAGAACGCGAAGAAGAAAATCACACAGCCCACAGTACACTAACTGGAATCTCCCTTTGCCCTCTGTCAGTGCATTGCTAGTTCACTGTAAGAGTGGGGCGCACTGCAGCGGTACAGCTCTATTTTATTCTCGTCAAAGAAGTGCTTCCCTTCCCCTCTACTGAGGCTGCAATTTAATAGAAAGCACCCTTTGGTGATAGGTCCCTTTCTTGTCTAACACACACACACACACACACACACACACACACACACACATGACTTAGACCTTCCTCTGAGAGAGCTTAGTTCTTTTAGCAAGACTCGATTACTTTGTACATTAAACAAAATCTATTTTAAATAAAACATAATAAGGGTTTCAAATAGATATTTTCCACGGATCATTAGACAAGCAAAACATGAAGGGTCTGGCAAGGTGGCTACAGAATATGACTGTAAGGGAATTTAAGGGAAAGACAAGTTACTAAGTCTGTCCAAAACACATTTATTGACTTTTTAATTTAATATGGCAGCAGCATGTTAGCTGGGTAAACCATTCAAATTATTTAAGCTGAGTGGAAGATTAAAAACACTCCAAAATGATACAGTCAGTAAAGCCAGGGCACAAAGCATGTTCACTTATTTGTTAAAAAAAAAAAAAAGTAAAAGAAATGAGCCATCAAGCCTTAAATGCATATTGCTAAGTAAAAGAAGTCAATCCGAAAAGGCTAAATACTGGCTGAGTCCAACTATATGACATTCTGGAAAAGGCAAAACTATGAAGACAGTAAGATAGAGGCTGTCGGGGACTGGGAGTGGGGAGGGACAAACGGGGAGCACAGAGGACGTTGAGTACAGTGAAACGATTCCGTATGGCGCTCTAATAACGCACACATGTCCTTATACATTTGCCCAGCCCCACAGAATGTACAACACAGTGAGTGAATCCTCATGTAAACTATGGTCTTTGGATGATAATGCCGTGTCAATGTAGGTCCATAAATTGTGACAAATACACCACTGTGTTGAAAGATGCTGATAGTGGGGGAGGCTGTGGAGGGGGACACTGGGTATATGGGAACTTTCTGCACTTTCCACTAATTTTGATGTAAACCTGAAACTGCTTTAAAAATAAAGTTTATTTTTTAGAAAGTAGAGGTTTTGGCCTACGGATTGTTTGGGTAATACTTTAACAAGCGTTTATTGAACACCCACCACCTATTGCCCTACAGTGGAAGGCAGCCTTCAAGGGCCCTGGATGGTCCCAGACCTCTTGTGTAGTCTCCTTCTGCATAGCATCAGGATTGGTTTGTGTGACCAATGGACTGTGGCAGAAGTGATGGTGTGTCACTTCTGAGATTAGACAGAAGACACTGTAACTTCCTTTTGCTCACTCTTTCTCTTTCTTGGAACAATTATTTGGAGGGAAGCCAGCTGCTATGTTATGAATGCTCTGTGGAGAGGCTATATGATAAGGAACTGAGGCCTTCAGCCAACAGCCATGTGAGTGAGCCTGGAAGCAGATGCTCCAGCCAAATGAAGTCTTCAGATGACTCCACCCTGGCTGAGATCTTGACAGCAGTCTCATGAGAGATGCTGAGCCAGAATTACCTAGCTAAGCTGCTCCCAGCTTCCTGTCAGATTGTAT